CAATTACCAGGGTGAGGAGAGTGAAATCGTCATCGCGAGTTTGACCAGAAGCAACAAAAACGGAGACATCGGCTTCATGGCGGCCCCGCAGCGGCTCAACGTGCTCCTCTCTCGCGCTCGAGATGTGCTCATCATGATCGGAAATTCGAACACTTTTCTGCGAAGTAAGAAAGGGGAAGGCGTTTGGCGGCCTTTTGTAGATCAGCTCCAGACGTGCGGACACCTGTACGATGGCCTGCCCGTAAGATGCGAGCAGCACCCCAAGACACTAGCAGTTCTCCAATCGCCTGACGACTTTGATGCAAAATGTCCCGACGGAGGGTGCGAACAGCCGTGGTGAGTTGCCTTTGCTGGGTTTGTTGATTCTGGTTCTAAGCGACGGTGGCTAATAACCAGTGCGACAGTGGGACGAAACTAAACTGCGGAATGCATGACTGTCCTCAAAAGTGTCATCAGCTGTCAGATCATTCCAAGATGCAGTGCGAAATGGCTGTCGATTGGATATGCCCCCGCGATCATAAACAATTGACACCATGCTTCCAGCACAAGGGGCAGTGCCGTCGTTGTGCTGAGGAAGACAGGGAGGCCGAGCGCCGACGGCAAAGGGACATGGACCTCGACGCAAAGCGACAAGCCAAGCAGCAGGAATATGCATGTCAGCTAGCCCAAATCCAAGATGAGATCGCCCAGGAGAGAAGACTCCAGCAAGAAAAGCGGGATGATGAGGAACGGCAGCGCGTTCTCCAGCAGACCCTCGACGATCTTGAACAATTGAGAACGCGTCGCGCCGAACGCAAGAGAGACAACTCGCCATCTGCTGTCAACGCTGACCAGACCGGTCAGAGTCCCCAGACCCTGCCCGATCGGAGCAAGAATCTCGGTCAAACAGCATCATCATCATCATCATCACCATCATCAAAGGCTACGATCAGCCCCACCGGGACGCAAGCTTTATCTCCCTCGGAGCAGGAATGGGCACACCAAAAGAAGTACGAAAGCGCACAGAGCAAGGAGCTAGACCAGCTGATGGGGATGATCGGGCTGGAGAGCATCAAAGCCAAGTTCCTCAACATCAAATCCCAAGTCGACGCCGCGGTCAGGAGGGACTCTGATTTCCACGCCGATCGGTACGGCTCAGTCCTCCTCGGAAACCCGGGGACGGGGAAAACCACCGTTGCACGCATCTACGCGAAGTTCCTCACGGCTATGGGGATCATTCCCGGGAGCTTTATTGTCGAGACCACCGGATCGCGACTCGCCAACGGTGGCGTGTCCGACTGCGAGAAGCAGCTTAACAAGATCCTCACAGTGGCGGGGGCGTGCTTTTCATCGACGAGGCTTATCAGCTGGCGCAGAGCAATGGCCCTGGGTCCCAGGTCCTCGACTTCCTGCTGGCGGAGATCGAGAACCTTACGGGAAAAGTGGTCGTGGTTCTGGCAGGATATCGACGGCAGATGGAGAAGTTCTTTGCCCACAACCCCGGCCTCCCGAGTCGATTCCCGCATGAAATCGTCTTCGAGGACTACACCGAGCCGGAGCTCCGTCGGATCCTCGAATTTCAAATCAGCAAGAAGTTCCGAGGGAAGATGAAGGTTGAGAACGGTATGGACGGGTTGTACTGCCGGATCGTTGCGCGTCGGATTGCCAGACAACAGGGCCATGAGGGCTTTGGCAATGCGCGCACGGTGGAAAATGTCCTCGCGCGCATCACAGCGCGCCAGGCCGCACGACTCGCCTGTGAAAGAAGGAACAAGACCCCAGGTCAACCGCCCGTCGATGATTTCCTGCTCACGAAGAACGACCTTCTCGGTCCGGAGCCTAGGAGAGCGTTGCAGGATTGTTCTGCTTGGAGAAAGCTGCAGGATATGATCGGTCTGGCCGCTGTCAAGAATACTGTCCGCGCCTTGTTGGACAGTATGCAGGCGAACTACGAGCGCGAGCTTAAGGAGAAGCCTCTGGTCGAGTTCACACTCAACCGCGTGTTCCTTGGGTCGCCGGGAACAGGTAAAACGACGGTTGCCAAGCTCTACGGGCAGATTCTTGTGGACCTTGGATATTTGTCGAACGGTGAAGGTGAGTGGTAATTCCAGCGTTTAGTGGCCAAGGATGTCTAACCGTGTGATTGATTCTAGTGATTGTCAAGAACCCAGCAGATTTCATCGGGAGTGTCATCGGCGGATCTGAGCAGAATACTAAAGGTATTCTCGCATCCACTCTGGGAAAGGTTCTCGTCATCGATGAAGCCTATGGTCTGTTCGGCGGTGGTACTCGCGACGCCAGCGGCTCGAACTCCAATCAATTCAAGACAGCGGTGGTCGACACAATCGTCACAGAGGTACAGAGCGTTCCGGGCGACGACCGCTGTGTTCTGCTACTGGGCTACGAAGAGCAGATGAAGGAGATGTTCCAGAACGTCAATCCGGGGCTTTCCAGGCGATTCGCTATCGATGATGCCTTTGATTTTGCCGACTTCTCCGACCTCGAGCTGCGACAGATCCTCGATCTCAAGCTGAAAGCTCAGGGGTTTGTCACCTCCGACCAGGGCGCCAAGGTGGCGATGGAGATCCTCGCCCGTGCTCGCAACCGTCCGCACTTTGGCAACGCAGGCGAGATTGACATTCTGTTGAATGGCGCCAAGCTCCGTCAGCAACAGCGACGGTCGGCCGGGATCGGCAACCCTAGTCTCGAGCATTTGGAGCCTCAGGATTGGGACCCCGAGTATGATCGGGCAGAACGAAACGAAACGAATATCCGGACGCTGTTCCAAGACACCGTCGGCTGCGACGCCATCATCGAAAAGCTGGAGGATTTACGCCTGACCGTCAAGAACCTCCGAGAGCTTGAGATGGACCCCAGGCAACAGGTGCCGTTCAATTTCCTGTTCCGGGGGCCTCCAGGAACCGGTAAGACAAGTACAGCCAGAAAGATGGGCCAGGTGTACTACGATCTGGGTCTGCTGTCATCCGTGGAGGTCGTCGAAAGCTCAGCAACGGATTTGATAGGGCAGTATATCGGTCAGACTGGTCCTAAGACGCAGGAACTACTGGAGAAATCGCTCGGCAAGGTTCTCCTGATCGACGAGGCCTACAGACTCGCCGAAGGGCAATTTGCGCAGGAGGCAATGGATGAGATTGTCGACTGCATCACCAAGCCCAGGTTCTTCCAAAAACTTATCATCATCCTAGCAGGATACGACCAGGACATCAATCGTCTCATGACCATCAACCCAGGCTTGACCAGTCGGTTCCCGGAAGAGCTTGAGTTCGCCAGCCTTACACCCGACGCTTGCATCCAGCTCCTCACGAAGCTGCTCCAGAAGCAAAAGTCCGATTCCTCGCAGAAGACCACCGGGTTTGACCTGGACGCATTGGAGTGCCCACGGGCCGAGTTCACCAAGGAGTTGCGGGGCCGATTCACGAGACTCACGCAGACCGCGAACTGGGCCAATGCGCGTGACGTCCAGACCATCTCGAAATCCATCTTCAGAGCTGCGATTATGACCATGCGCGACAAGACGATCGTCATCTGCGAGGAAGTCATCAGCGGAGAGATCGACAAGATGCTGTCCGAGCGCACCAAGCGCACAGCAAACAAATCCGTCTCCCGGAACCCTACGCTCGATATACTCCAATCCCAGGGTTTCGGTCGGCAGCCAGCCTCTCCGGTGCTAACCACATCATACAGCCCGCCTGCAGCCTCCGAGGACGCAGCAGCCGCAACCAAGAAAGAACCCGCTGCGCCTCCAGCGACCCCGGCACCGGAGGAGACCCTTTCGGGCGCTATCGCCAGGGAAGATGGGGTGTCGGATGAGGTATGGGAGCAACTAGGACGCGACAGACAAGCCGCACAGGCAGCAGACGACCGATACAAGAGATTGCTCGCCGACGAGCGCGAGGCGGAGAAGGCAGCTCACGACCTACCTTCCGACCCCCCCGATTCTCCGGCCAGATCGTCTGACCCCGAAGTCGACGTGGAAGCTAAAAAGCAGCGTGAACAGCGCCGGCTCGAAGAGCTGGCCAAACGAGCTAAGCTGGATGAACTTCGGAGGCAGCGTGAGTTGGAGGAACAGGCCAGGAAGAAGGAACAACAGATCCAACGGAAGCTGCGTTCGATGGGCGTCTGTGTTGCTGGGTTTCAGTGGATCAAACAGGAGCGCGGGTATAGGTGTGCGGGAGGCAGTCATTACATCTCGAATGAGGCTTTGGGGGTTTGAGTCGGCTTGCTGGGATAGTTTGAGGATGGCTTGGTTGTAGATCATTGATCGTTTTTTTTAAGCTCATACTCGAAGTGAAGATGTCAAGAACGCATGTTCTGTATACACGAGGATTTTTGTCCGTCATTTGATTTTTAGAAATTGTGCAAAGCCTGGTCATGATCATCGGTTGAAGGCGAAGGGCACTTCGAGCGGGTAGAAGACGGAAGATATCATTATTTTGGCTTTGGCTTTTTCTTTTCATGTTTATTTTTTTTAAGTTAAGAGTTTTTGAACCAGTTTAGTCTCATCTTTTCGTTAGATTTAGTACTGAAGCAAGACTAATTTACTTGTAGGCAACTTAATGTAAGCTGTTAAGGTAGTTGTGCTACGTATGAAGAGGTTAACTTAGTTATGCTGGTCTGATGAGTCAGCTGGCACTACTTAACTAACTAATGTGCGACAGCGGCATCAGCAGCGGCATCAGCAGCGACATCGGAACTCTATATTCTTCCAGGCATCCTCCGGACCCGTGGGGAAGGGGAAACGAAAAGCGAGGACAGTACGGGGCATGGGCTGATTTCTTCAGTTATATCTTTTACTCGATCTCATCGAGTCAGCGGGCCCCCGGAGATGATTAGATACTATCATACTAAGCGATATTGAGAGATATTGCCCCACCAGGCACCTTTGATTTTTTGCGGAGAAACCAGTGGAGAGGGATTAGTCTCGCTCCACTCGCGCTGATAACGCTCGCTGGCCAGGAATTAGAATTTGCTTACTCGACCGAATCGAGCAACGAAAAATGATATCGATCTACGATAATCAATTCATCAGTGGCACAGTGGCACAGTGGCACCGTAGGTTGGTTGGTAGGTTACTGGCACGGGTGCCTCAGCGCGCTCGGTGCTCCCGTTCCACCATCCATGGCGGGCGATAAGAAAGGCCCATGGCTGATGGATGGATGATCTTCGGCCCATCTGACCAATTTTCCCAATTCCTTATCTTGCGTCAAGGACGCGGAGGGGCGCAGAGTCGAATTGGTCCTTTTCGTCCCTTTTCGTCCCTTTTCGTCCCTTTTCGTCCTTTTTCATGTCATGATGGCGTACGGGGGAAAAGGCCACTATCAGGGGCCCTCTTGGCTCTGCTGATTGGCTTGCCGAGAGAATCAATGACGAGGGCGATGATACGGTACGTTCCGACTCAATTTATCTTGATAGCATCTGCTATATAAATTAAGGCATACTAAAACTATACAATGCTGCTATGGCTGCCAGGTTTAGCCTGTTCTTTATAACTTCCTTCTATCACCATCGCCTACCTCCCTGCCCTCCCATCTCCCATCAAGCAGGTTGAATCGCTCATCCGTCCATCCACTCATCGTCGAAAGAAAGGATCTGGAAAGGCTCTGGTCCCCCTAGGCTCGCTCCTTCCCCCGCCAATCTTGTATATACCTGTCGGCGTGGCGAGATTTCGACTAGGCTGGCTTAGCTCTAGCTTCTGAGTGCATTGCCTACTCCCTCTCAACATCGCTCATTCCGACTATCTCCACAGGCATGGAAACAACTCGTCTGCAACGATGGCTGAAGAAACTCGAGGTGTCCGCGAAGCCGGGACTGTCCAACACTCAGTTGATGTTGATGAACCATGATTTACAACCAGGTACGTTGGTCGATCTGTGGACGGGTCGCTGTTTGCGGCGTGATCCTCTCTCTCTGGCTCTCGCGCACGGACTGACCGTGATGGATTCGGATTCCTGCAGTTGAACATGAACGTCGACAATGGGGATGGTACAACTTCGTCGCCTTTTGGATAGCAGATTCTCTCAACATCGTGAGTACTACTGCGGGCATCTTCGCCGATCATGGCCTATCGCCCTTCCCGGCTGACCAAATCCGCTTGTTCGACTAGAATACCTGGATGATTTCCTCCTCGATGATTGTGGATGGCCTGTCATGGTGGCAGTCGTGGATATGTGTCTGGGTCGGGTACTTCATTGCCGCCTGTTTTGTGTGCTTGACGGGTCGCATTGGTGCCGTCTACCACATCTCCTTCCCTGTCGCCTGTCGCTCGAGTTTCGGTATCTGGGGGTCTTTCTGGCCCGTATTCAATCGAGCGGCCATGGCTGTCGTGTGGTACGGTGTCCAAGGCTACATTGGAGGTAAGGAAGTCCTGGCGCCGTTGCTACTCGAAACCAGCCGCAATGGCTTGATCGGAATATATCTGATGTGTAACAGGCGAGTGTGTCACCCTGATGATTCGATCCATATGGCCCAGCTACAACAATTTGCCCAACGGGATCCCTGCCAGTGCCGGCGTCGACACGAAGAACTTTCTGAGTTTCTTCCTGTTCTGGCTGCTATCGCTGCCCGCGCTCTGGTTCCCCGTGCACAAGATCCGTCATCTCTTCACCGTCAAGGCCATCTATTCGCCCATCGCTGCCATTGCGTTCTTCGCCTGGGCCATCTCCCGCGCCAACGGAATCGGCCCCATTGTCCACCAGCCCGCCTCGGTTCACGGCAGCGTGCTGGCCTGGGCCGTGGTGAAATCGATCATGAGCTGCCTGAGCAACTTCGCCACTTTGATCGTCAATGATCCGGATTTCTCCCGGTTCTCGCGGACACCGAAGGATGCGCTGTGGTCTCAACTGCTTACCATCCCGATCGGCTTCGGAATTACCTCATTCATCGGAATCATCGTTTCCTCGTCGTCGGCCGTTATCTTTGGCGGTGACTTTGTCTGGAACCCCCTGGATCTGCTGGGCAAGTTCTTGGACGGGGCAAGCTCTGCTGAGCGCTTCGGGGTCTTCATCATCTCGACGGGCTTTGCTCTGGCGCAACTGGGGACCAACATTTCCGCCAATTCGGTCTCTGCGGGTACCGATATGACGGCCCTGCTCCCTCGATACATCAACATCCGCCGAGGAAGCTATGTCTGCGCCGCGATCGGCTTGGCGATGTGTCCAGTATGATGATCCCTGTCATTATAAATTGTGCAGGGACTTTGACTAACCGAGCCTAGTGGAAACTCCAATCGTCGTCGAACCAGTTCACCACCTACCTGTCCGCCTACTCAGTCTTCCTATCCTCCATTGCGGGCCCCATCGTGTGCGACTACTACATCGTTCGCAAGGGCTATCTCCAAGTGAAGGACCTGTACAACGCGAGCCGCAGTTCCCCGTACCATTACATCTGTGGCTTTTCCTGGCACGCATACGCCTCGTACATTGCGGGCATTCTGGTCAACATTGTGGGCTTTGCCGGCGCTGTGGGCCGGGACGTGCCGGTTGGCGCCCAATACATATACAACATCAACTACTTTTCCGGGTTCGTCGTGTCGGCCGTGATGTACTATGCGCTGACCCGCTTCTTCCCCATCCCTGGCACCAGCGAAACGTGGCATGAGGTCAAGGTGGAAGGTGCGCTGTCGATCGCGGACGGCGAGGAGGTTGACGGCGAAGAGGAGAACACTGCGGGCAAGCCGATAGACTTTGCGTCGACTGTTGACCAGAAGCATCCAAAGTCGCGGGCATCCTCGCTTGTATGATGATTGATGATGAGACACGATTTCTTTTCTTATGATGATAACAGTGCACTAATTTGTTGCCTGATGATGAGCACCACCATTTTTGTAATTTGATACATACCCACACAAAATCATACACTTATCACTCGGTGGTTTTTGCCGGGATAATTTTGCATGCACATCCATGCTTGATTTCCTAATTTCCTATCCGGTGAGATACTTGTTGTACTGTACCTTGTAGCGATCAGATTTACTCCGAGTCCGCGGGTGGAGGCTGCCTGAGGACAGGCGGCTTCAACGAGCACGTGGAGGGGAAACACACCAAAGTATAGTTACTCCGCAGGTTCATACGCTTCTTCCTTTGTCTCGTTTCTCCGAGCTGACCTCCTAGAATACCGTGCAGTTGCGCAGTGACTGTCAGGTACTAGGTATATGGTACAAAGTCGGTGAGTGACTGCAGCCTTCCAACAGGCAAAGCATGTCAGGAAAAAGCAACCCCACGACCATCTCGTGATCACCCTCTCACTCTCCCAAGAGTTTCTTTCCGGACTGTTGTTGGTCTAGCATCTTATCCAGTCCGCTACCCCTCTCGTCATCGTCTGCCCTGGCTGGCTGGCTCACGACATCGTGGAAATTTACCTGACTTGATACGCTACGCGACGATGACTTCTGCCATCCGGCTCCTCGTCCAGTTCCTGCTGGCCGATCTTCTCGCCCACGTGCTGTATAGCTACTACTTCCACCCTCTGGCACGGTATCCGGGACCCTTTCTGGCGCATTTCACGAATATCTGGTATGTCTACATTCTCTTCTGGTTGCAATCTATAGAGATGGGCTGGGAGGGGGCCTGTGTTTGGCTGTGTTTGGCTGTGGGGAAACCCAACCTTGAAGATGTGTACCTACTCTGTGTACATCTCATATGTGTCTATGTGCACGCTGACTCCATATCCAAAAACCCCAGGAAATTCGCCAGCTTCCTTCGCGGCCAGCACCATCTCACCGAAGAGAAACTGCACCAGCGCTACGGCCCGATCGTCCGGGTCGCCCCGAACTGGCTCTCGTTCTCGCAGCTCCCGGCCTTCGAGGCCATCTACGGCTTCCACAAAGCCATCGAGAAGGACGACTTCTACACGTTCGGGGAGGGGCGCCGCCGCCGCCCCCAGCGCGACGTCAGCGTCTTCGCCGCGCAGTCGAACCTCGTCCACCGCCAGAAGCGCCGGAGGATGCTGGGGCCGGCGCTGACGCGCGCCCAGATCCGGCGCTACGAGCCGGTGATCGTGAGGCATGTCGCCGTGTTGGTTGGGCGGTTGGAGGAGCTGGAGCAGGAACAGGAGCAGGAACAGGAGCAAGTTGGACTTTCGGGAGAACTGAACGTGAAAGTGAACGTGGCCCCGCTCGTCCATCGCTTCACCCTGGACGTGATGCTGGACATCCTCTTTGGGCCGGCGGTGGGTCCCCACCCTTACACGGACAACGATGTCGCGGGCAACCTCGGCGCGAGCATTCGCTACGTGAGCAAGATGGTCTGGAGTTACTCGCTCTGGCCGCTGTTCGGGTGGCTGATGAATACCCGTCTGGCGGTGGCGTGTCTGCGCCGGCCGAGGTACAATGCCGATGGCGCGATGGTCGGGTTGAACGGGCTCATGCATCGTGGTGCGGCGGCGATTTTGATGGGTCCGGAGGTCTTTGCGGGGGAGAGGGATTCGCAGCCCGGGATTGTGAAGAGCTGGCTGCTGGGGGGGTTGGGTTCGTCGGCGGATGGTGTTGCAGATCATCATCATCATCAGAAGATGACGCCCGCTGAGGCCGTGTCGGAGGCCTTTAATTTGGTGTTTGCGGGCCCCGGCAGCATGGCGGCCGCGTTGACGGCCATTCTCTACCAGTTGGGCCTTCCGGAGGGTCACATCTGGCAGGAGAAGCTGCGCGCTGGCTTGGAGGGTGAGGCCCTTGAGGGCTCAACCTCGACGGATGCTTCTTCGCTGCCGTTGTCGTCGTCGTCGTCGCTCGAGTTACAGGCCGTCATCAAGGAGACCCTGCGCTTCCGCGCACCCTTTCCGACGGCGTTCCCGCGAGTGATCAGGTCGGGTGCGGAGATGGCCATCCCGGGCCTGTCCCATCCCCTGCCCGCTGGCACGACGGTCTCGGCCAGCACGTATGTGCTGGGTCGGTCGCGGGAGATCTGGGGCGATGATGCCGACCGATGGGTGCCGCAGCGCTGGTTGGGTTCGGGGAGCAGCGACGACGAAGAATCTCGCCGGCAACTGGACCGCCGGTTCGTCGCGTTCAGCAGAGGGCCCCGGGGCTGCAGTGGACGCGATCTGGCGTCGCTTATTCTTGCCAAGGCTGTGAGGGCGATCGTGCATCGGTGGAGATTCTCTGCTGCTGCGGCTGAACTGCGGGGCTCGAGCTTCCTGGAAATGCAGTATGACCAGTGCCTGCTCCGATTCGCACGGCGGTCGTCGTCCGATTGATCATCATGACGACGGTGGTAGTCGACGGTGGTGACTCAGATAGTATGTCGGAAACCCTTTTGGGATGCCGACGAAGAAGAAGGCTGAGTCGGAAGCTGAGCTGAGAGGCAAAAGGTGGTGGATGCGTTGTGATGATTCCGCTTTGGGACTCCGCGCTTCGTCCCCACCCGTTTACGAGTATATAATGGAGCTTCTTTGGAGCTCTTACTTTTGTCGATCGCTGGATTGAACCCACTCGACAACTTTTCTTCGAATTTTCCCCTTCTCCTTTCTTTTCTATCTCTCTACGTGTCTGAACAGTGCTGTTGAAGTCTTTTGTTTCCCACCAATCTTCCACAAGGGACTACAACGATGCTGTCCGGCGGCGCTCTGCCCCAGACTCTGGGCTCGATCACCGCGACCAAAATCAACGAACTCTCAAAGCAGCGCAATTTGTTCGAGCAACGAAGGAAAGAAATCGCAAAGGCCGCTGAAGACGCCCCCGATCTCCGCACCAAAACCCGAATTCTGTTGGAAGGGGTGACCAGACTCAAGGGCTATCCGAACATAGCCATCGACCGTCACGATCTGGACGCAGACCACTCCGCAGGCGGAGACACTTTCGTGAAAGACCTGTCCGAAGGCGCGGAGTACGCCAATATCCGACGCTTTCTCCTCCAGAGCCAGTATGACCCGTCCGTCTCGGAGCGCAGCCTCAAGGGCTGGATCGCCAAGCTGGAAAAGGAGCTTCAGTTTCTGCAGCTCCGACATGAGCACGCCTCCTTCTACAGTGATCTGGTGACGGAATGGCTGGGCGACCTCAACGGGGGGGAGTACGCCGCTCCGAGTGCAGCCGGCGCCGACGCTGGTGCCGACGAGAACAATGCGAGCTTCGAGAAGGTCGGGCGCGCAGAGATGCACGAACAGCGCGCCAGGTGGGAGTCCCTGGTCTTCACCGAGGCGGACATCGACGCAGCGGCGATCCGCACGTACCTGGACGGCATCTTCGGGACGTCGACGCAAACCCAGCAGGCGTTGAAGGGGCTCCGCGACAAGATCCGGTCCTTCGGCACCGAGTTCGCGTCCAAGAAGACCTGGTTCAAAGCGAAGGATCTCGCCTGGATCTCCAAGTCCCTGCTGAGCTCGGACCTGCTTACCAAGGAGAAGACGGCCATCCTGAAGGAGTTCATGCGCAACGACGCCGTCGCACAGGAAGTCGCCGACGTGCTCAACATGCGCCTCGGCGCCTTGGACACCTGGGCCTGGTCCGGGGAGGGGATCCCCGTTGAGATGCGCCGGCAGCTGAACGGCAAGTACCGCGTGTTTATGGATGAGGATCTGCTGGACAGCCTCATGTTCCAGTACCTCGGCGTGCGGTGGGCGGTGGCCCTGCGATCGGCCCTCGAGGAGTTCCTGGGATCTCCGGCCTGGAAGTCGCTGCGCGACGAGGTCTCGGAGGAGGAAGTCGTGCGGCGGTCGCGATTCAGGAGGGAGTCGGTGAGCCGGAGCTCCGGGGTCCAGTCGGTCCATGCCTTACGGAAGAACACGTTCAAGGAGCAGTACTTCATGACCTCGTTGCCCAGCTCGGTGAACGATACGTCCGACCCCTACGCCGAGGAGGAAGCCGACGACGTTGACGATGAGGAAGCGAAGAAGAAAAAGAACGGCATGGAGATCAAGCATTCGCTGCTCCATCTCCTCATCACCGAGTCCCTGGTCTACACCTCCCTGCATGGAGAGTTCACGGCCATCCGGTCGGACTTTGAATATTTCGGACCCTCGCTGGCCCACACCACCATCTCTACGGTGCTGGAATACTTCGGAGTCCCGCAGACCTGGCTGCACTTCTTCGACACCTTCCTCAAGGCCCCCATCTCGTTTGTCCAGGACGGCCCCACGGCCTCCGTGTCGGTCCGCCGACGCGGGGTGCCCATGAGCCATGCGCTGTCGGATTTCTTTGGCGAAGCGGTGCTCTTCTGCATGGACTTTGCCGTGAACCAGAGCACGGACGGCGGCTACCTGTACCGGCTCCACGATGACTTCTGGTTCTGGGGTCACGAAGACACCTGCGTCCAGGCGTGGCAGACGATGACCACCTTCGCCGGGGTGATGGGTCTTCGATTTAACGAGGAGAAGACCGGCACGACCAAGTTTGTTGCCAAGGACACGGTGCCACGGCCTCATGGACAACCACCAGCCCCCAAGACGAAGACCAGCGCATCGCCCAGCGCTCTGCTGCCCCAAGGGGACATCCGCTGGGGCTTCCTCAAGCTCGACCCGGAGGAAGGGCGCTTCATCATCGACCAGGCGCAGGTGGACAGCCACATCGACGAGCTCCAGCGGCAGCTTTCGTCCTGCAAGAGCATTTTCGCCTGGGTCCAGGCCTGGAACAGCTACTTCGGGCGCTTCTTCGCCAACAACTTCGCCACGCCGGCCATGTGCTTCGGCCGCCGCCACATCGACATGGCCATCGCGACCCTCAACCGCATCGAGCGGACCCTGTTCCCCGACAACGCCAGCGGCGTCACCGACTACCTGCGCCAGGAGATCGCCCACCGGTTCAACAACACGAAAGACCTCCCCGAGGGCTTCTTCTACTTCCCCGTCGAATTGGGGGGTATCGAGCTGCTGAACCCCTACATCCCCTTCCTCGCCATGCGCGAGAACATCAAGCAGAGCCCCGCCGCGCGGCTGCGCACGGCCTTCGTCGAGGACGAGGCCGAGTACCTGGAGGTCAAGGAGCGCTTCGTGAACGACGGGCCCGCCCTGGCGGGTGGTTCCAGCTGGAGCAACTACGGAGCAGCAGATTCATCCGAGGCCCCCTCGTCCTCCTCCGCCCTCGCGCTGGCAGAGTACACGCGGTATCCCGAGACCTACAGCCGGCCGCTGCTGCGGGCGTACGAGGACCTGATCCGCGTGCCGGAGGAGGAGAGCGTGGACCAGACGGCGCATTTCCAGCGCCATCAGATGGTGTTGGACGAAGGGATCGAGGAGGCGGCGAGCAAGCGCAAGATCATCTCGGGCGAGTGGTGGGCCATGTCGGCGTATTGGCGGTGGGTGGCGGAGCTGTACCACGAGGATATGACCGACCGCTATGGGAACCTGGCCGCCGTCAGCCGCGAGTATATGCCTTTGGGGGTGATTAAGACGCTGAAGGAGGGGAAGTTCCGGTGGCAGAGCTAGAGTTGTGTCTGGGAGGGAAAAGTCTATGTCTAGTGTTAATTATCTTCATCGATAGCTTGGTCTAACGCAGAAAATCATGAACTCTTTTTATAATGGGGATTCAACCCTTGTAGCCCGCCTTAAAATCATCGAGAAGTTTATGTAGCCGCTCGGTCTCCGCTACACCCCCAAAGATCGCGCCGTACGACCGCCGACAAAGCCTCAACACCTCCGCCCGGCTCAGACGGAAATGCTCCGCCGCGAGCCGATACTCGTTCGACACCGGACTACAGAAGAACCCGACATCATCCGTCTGCGCAGCGTCAGCACCACCGCAACGTAACCAACAACATCCACCCCCCGCCTCCCCCGAAAACAGACGAAGGGCAAAAGGATAAGTACTCACACACAACACCACCACGCACTGCCCGGTCCCGTCGGCCCACCACTCCCCAAAATGATGCTCCGCGAACCCGCCCGCCACCATGCCCGCGTGCACGTTACACGACAGACACAGCTCCAGCGCACATCCCTGTTGTTGGATGGCCTGCTTTATCGGGGCCGACACGTGGATCACGTGGCCCAGGCGATCCGGTTCGAAGTCGAGCAAGGTCCGCAACTCCTCCTCCTGTCTCCGGGGCTGGTGGGGGTTGGGGGCCACCTCGGCGAAATGCACCGTCACGCCTAGCCCCGCCGCTTTGGCGAGGGCGATGGCGGGCGCGTACAGCGCGATGTCGCCTTTCGTGGGGTTGCCGCAGATGTCGAGGCCGATTACTGCCCCCCCGGCTTTTTGAGGCTGGGTGCTAGGCCTCGTGCCGGGGGATGGGGAACGGTACTTGATGGCTAGCTGGACGACCTCCATCGCGTCCTGGGCGGTCATGGTGCCCCGGTCGATGGCGAGGATGAGGTTCGTCGTCATCGCTGCTTTCTTCGTGGAGGCTCCGCTTTCGCTGGGGAGCGTTGAGGCATTTGCGGGGGGCTGCTGCTGCTGCTGCAACCCAAACTCGGCGATTGTGTCAAGCACTGTGGTCAGGTACTCCTCCCGCGTGAACGACTGCGCCGGCGAGGCGCGCGGGATCGTCCGCAGTTCCAGGTAGACGACGCCGTCGGCGGCGAAGTCGGCCAGGGTGGACCGCGTGGCGGCCCGGATGTCGGAGAGGGTGGTCAGGAGGTGGTAGATTGTGTGGGAGAAGGTGGTGAAGAATCTGCTCTTTTGGAGGGCTTTTTAGTGTGTTTGTGTGTTCTCCTGGAGTTTTTGGGGGGGTGGGGGAGGTATGTTTGTAGGGGCTTGATGAAGTGGATGTGCACAATTCCACGCGGGCTTTGATATCGGGTTGGTGGAAGTGGCTTTCCCAGAGAGTAAAGGGAGGAGGGACACGCACGTCTGCAGAGAATAGTCCACTTTGCCGGGGGGCATCACTACCAGAGGATCTTCCAGGGTGAAGGTCTCCGGGGATTGGGCTTTCTTCTGAGCCCAGATCTCGTGGAGGCATTGTCGGCTTATGCTGCCGCTTAGGTGGGCGTGGAGCTGTAGGGTTGTAGGTTAGTGGATCTTCTTCTGGTTTGTTTGGGGGGAGGGGGAGTTGAATGTTGTGGGATTGTGAGGTGTGGGGGTTGGTGGTGGGGAGAAGAGAAGGGGAGAGGGTAGTTGAGGTTCCTCTGCACCAGAAAGGATTGCTTGACTTGCCTCGATCTTCGGGAGAGCTCGAGTGAACTCGTCATCTACTGGCTTGGAAAGGTCCATTGAAGATAGCCCCAATAGCTCAATTGCTCGAGATAGTCATTGGGTTGGGTTGTTGACGGGTTGATGGTGCGGGGCTGGAGCGTGCGGAGGCGGGGAGCAAAACACGGTTACACCA